GAGACGCTCCTTTGCCTCGCGAGATGCTTCCCTTGCCTCGCGAAACACTCCTCTACCTCGCGAGGTGCTTCGCTACTTAGCTTTATATGCGATCAAAATTTATACAATATATAAATTGCATCTATGCATACAAGACAATATTTTCAAAAATTTGACTTACACCACTATGGCTTTTACCCGTCCATATGTAACATTATTTATAAGAAAGTTATATTGTAATAAGGAATTATAAGGAAACGTGTAATAAATTTGAAATTGTATGATACTAATGCCGGATATATTATACGAAATCAACATAAGACGATTTCTTAATAGATAATAACGGTGTTTATTCTTTATCTATAGAATTTCACATTTTAAAAATTATCGTTAATTATTATAAATTTCACATAAATGTGAAGGTTTGAATCAACGCTCAAATAATAGCTTCTTGCTTGCAAAATTTGACATTTATCTGAAAATTAAAATTATAAAATTACGATTATATTTTTCAAAATTATGAGATACAAAGTTCGTAATAATTTTGAAGAATGTAATCTTAATTTTGTAATTTTAATTATTGTAATTCGTTATTAATTGGAATACGCAAGATGGAAGCGCGGCCGCCGCGGCCAGAATATCCCCTCCAGCTGGCTAGTTCGGCTTCGGCACGAACCTAGCACGGACGCAAACCATGTGCGGTTACCGAGCGATACGACGTAGTTGAGTTGCATTTTCTCAGGCGGCGCGTCGGAAAATGCAACACAGCAACACACGAAAAAGGCCGGGATGGCCTCTCTCAGGTTTCTCTCTGCACATGGTCACGAGCGGCGCGGAGAGGCGGCGAGGGCGCGCGGACAACCTATGCGGAGAATTTCTTTGTTCTTTCTCTTGACAATCTCGACATTGGCAGCCCTGGATATTCCAGGAGCTTCGCGCTTTTACCGCGCGAGGCCTTCGGGAGCGATCCGGAGTTTGGCTTGTCACTCCCTTGCACCACCTTGCACTCCCTCCCTGACTGCCTGACTCCCGTCCCGTGAAGTCCCGTCCCGTCGAAGAGGGCAGCCGGCAGAGGAGGAAGAGAGAAGAGAGATAGAGAGGAGGAGAGGAAGAAGAAGAAACTCGGCCGGAGCCCGAAACAAATCCGGCAAACTGCCTCTTTTCGCCATGGAGCTGACGGAGTTAACGAAACACCTGGATAAGATCAATGTCCCGCGTGCCGGCGACAGGATATACAAGGACGAGTGCGTTTACTCCTTCGACACGCCAGTAAGATTATCCCTCGTCCTTTGTCCCCCTACGAGACTGTCGGGCGCGATCGTTATCGGTTGAAAAAAATATTTTCTCTGTCCAAGGACACGGCTACCGGCCTCTACGTCAGTCTCACCACCTTCCTGGGCTTCGGACGGGAGCATGTCACCCGGTATTATGAGAACACCGGCAATCCTGTGTACCTTCATATTAAGCGTACTAAGAAGGAGGTAATTTCAGTTTGCAGAGACAATTTTGTGACACGTTTGTGGAAAAGTTGTTTCAACTTTTATCTTTAAAGGCTAATATAATACGATATAATTAATATAACCAAGACGTTCCATATATAAGACTTCTGTCAAGTGCTAAGCTACATTGCCAATACTAATTAAATTGTCGATACTAATGTACTAACGAACGCTATCATTCGCATTGGCATTTGATGTGTAATTACACTTTTATTCAAACGAGACTTAATTTTTGTTAATAAGAATAATTAATAGATCACATTGGCAATAGAGATTTGTTAGATATAATTTTTCACATCTGAATTCAGAAATCTATAAAATTTTTTATAGATTCCGTCTGAGGAGCAGGGAGATGGACCTGAGAAGAAAATCACGCGATTGGCGATAGGAACAGTTGGTGGATTCATGCCTGATCAGCAGAAGTATATCTATGAGGAGACCTACCAGATAGTCATTTTACCTGATTTCCTTACTATCGCTTATCCCACGAGCGATCTGCCCGAAAAGGTAGGACTTATCTGTGAAATTATGTATAATCGATAATATTTAAAATACACAATACTGTTGGCAGGTGGAACAGGCAGTTAAAACTGTATTACAAATGGAAGGCGCATGGGCAGTGGCACAGGTAGAAGCCGTAGCTAACATGTGGGACGGAGAAGTCAGGACGGAGTCAAAGTGAGTCTATTAAAATTTACTATTAAAAAATTTATTAATTGGATGATCTTGATTAATTTCACATATCTATTAAATTATACGTTCAAATATTAGAGAGTATTGCTACTTATTATCACAAATGTGCTTTACAATATGCTAAACGCTTTTATATTGCTTTTAAGTTATCACTTGGAATTTATAAGCATTTAAATTCAGAAAATATGAAACTTTTCTTTTAATTACTGAAATAACGTTTAATTATCTGAATAGAAATCTTTGTTTCAAGCAAGAATGTCAAGTTTGTCGGACTTTTTAGACACGCCGCGACTCTGAAACAGCTGGACAACGGTAAAAAAATCCCGCCTAGTGGTTGGAAGTGCGAAAAATGTGATCTCACGCAGAATCTCTGGCTTAATCTGACCGACGGCAGCGTACTGTGCGGTCGCAAGTTTTACGACGGAAGTGGCGGCAACGGTCATGCCGAGGAACACTACCGCGCAACCGGTTATCCTCTAACCGTGAAACTAGGCACGATCACGAAGGGCGGTAAGGCCGACGTGTTCTCGTACGACGAGGACGACATGGTGGATGATCCAAATCTGGCAGCGCATCTATCGCACTGGGGCATCAACATCTCACAGATGGAGAAAACGGACAAGTCGATGATTGAACTGGAATTGGATCTTAATCAAAAGTTCGGCGAATGGGTCTCCCTTCAGGAAGCGGCCAGCAAATTAACACCGTTGTACGGTCCCGGCTACACCGGACTGACCAATCTGGGAAATTCCTGTTACCTGAACAGCGTCATGCAAATGCTGTTCACTATTCCTGATTTCGTTAAAAGGTGCGTAAAATTCTTTATGATGCGCTTCCGTTTTTTCACAAATGATTTTTGCTTCTACCGTACATAGGACTAGTAGAGTCTCTCTGATAAAAGGAACGTTATAAGATCGACATCTAGTAATTGCCGGTAAATTTCAGATATGTGGAGAAAGCGCCAAGAATATTCGCTAGTAATTACAACGACCCGGCGTCGGACATTAATGTTCAAATGTAAGTTTCAGTGATGCTCGATAAGGTAGTATTTAGCGATTGTCTAAAACTCTGAAGGATAATCCAAAAAATCTTAATTTCCTTAGGGCGAAATTGGGTATCGGCTTACTCTCTGGTAAATACTCGGATCAACCGAGCAAATCCGGCACGGACGACGAGTCGCGGCAAGGTATTCCGCCACGGATGTTTAAGGTCCTGATCGGTCGCGGAAACGCTGATTTCTTCTCAAATCGACAACAAGATGCTCAGGAATTTCTTCTTTACCTGATTAATTTACTCAATGTAATTATTAATTTCATTTTCAGTAGTAATCGAACATTTCTTTATGCACTGTTAAATCTATTATTAAGCTAAGCCGAAGATTTTAATCGGGGAAATTTATTGATAGCGCAACAATCGACACGAGGTGTGTCCCACGGAATGTTTCAAATTCAAAGTCGAGGAGAGATACCAGTGTGGCAAATCCAACAAAGTCAAGTACACCAGTCGGCCGGAATACATCCTGCCACTGCCGATACCATTGAACGCGGCTGTGAATAAGGTGCGTATATTCAAACACGTTTGATAATTTTTTCGAAGAGTAATTAAAACTAATGAAGCGACTAATCAAGGACGAGGTAGCTGCATACGAGGCTCAGAAGAAGGAAGCCGAGGCGAAAGAGCAGAAGCTAGATTCCAGTACTATCGTGAGACCCCGTATAAAATTGTCGTCATGCCTCGAAAGTTTCAGTCGCACGGAAATTGTGGAACAGTTTTACAGTTCGGCATTGAACGAGAAGACGATAGCACACAAGTAAATATCGTTATAGCTACCGATGGCTAAACGTTGTTCCATTTACTTGATAATTATATCGAACACGTTAACTCCGTTCAGCAATCAATAATATTATAATCTATTACATTTCTCTGAGTATTCTACTTATCTATCTACATATAATCGTTAAAAATCGACCAGATCTAATTTTTCACAACAAATTCTTTTCACGTTACTATCTTTTTAGAACCACCAGACTGGCCAGCTTTCCGGATTACTTGCTGATCCATCTAAAGAAGTTCACCATGAAGGAAGACTGGACGTCCATCAAGCTGGACGTAGCGGTAGAGATGCCAGACACAGTGGATCTGAGTTTTCTACGTGGAAACGGTTTGCAGCCCGGCGAGGAACTGTTGCCGGACGGTGTTAAACCACCGCCGCCTGTCTACGACACGGTTCTTCTGAAGGAATTGACGGATATAGGCTTTTCACCAAACGCGTGCAAGCGAGCCCTGTACTTCACGGAGAACCGCAGCCTCGAGGCCGCGACCAATTGGGTGATGGAGCACATCGCAGATTCCGATTTCGACGAGCCATTCGTGCCACCAGGAGTCGACGTTAAGTCTGGTAAATTGACACGCTTCAGCGTTGAATCGTAGTCGATTGAGCGATTTTTTTTACCTGATTGATTGATTTTAGGCGAAGACAAGTTTGTGGCAGATCGAGCTGCTTTGGAAATGGTGATGAGCATGGGCTTTACGCGGGAGCAAGCAACGAAGGCACTCAAAGCGACCAACAATAATCTGGAGCGTGCGGCCGATTGGATTTTCAGTCACCAAGCCGAGCTCGACGCCCCGGAAACGGACGGTACCGCGGCGCCAACGAAGGAGTCATTCAAAGACGGAAGCAGTCGTGAGTCACAAATATATGTATTTTTCAAACTGCGAATTGTAATATCAATAATTCGAGAGAAAATATATGGCCTCTTATATAAACAATACGGACGCGACATGCCAAAATAGACAAAAATGAAGTGAAAATAAAGGAAGTTAGAAATAATGTAACTAAATTATTATCGGAATTTATGAAGCTTATAGCATTGTTGAGAGGAATTGAATGTACCTTTTCGATTGTTTTAAGCGTTTCCGTGTTTTAGGATACAAATTAGTGGGCTTTATATCGCATATGGGCACATCGACGATGGTAGGCCATTACGTTTGTCACTTGCTGAAGGAAGACCGATGGGTGATATTTAATGACGAAAAAGTACGACAGTTATTTCTTGATCTTTGTTTTATAAGATTATTATTTCTGAAAACTTTGATATTTCTCTTCTTACACAAATTTATTATTGCAGGTCGCTTTATCGGAAAATCCGCCGAAAGAGTTAGGATACATCTACATGTATCAACGGATTGACTAGTGTAACTGCTGTTTTGTATAAAGATGTTGCTTTTCAACAATAAAAAAATAATACAAATGGTTTTTATATTATATATTGCGTATATTGAAAGTATGTCAAAGTGATAACGTGAAACAACGCGGCGTTTTCACGAGACACGAGAAACGTATAAGGAAAAGTAAAGGGAACGTACAAGGAGTATAAAATGAAAATTCCACTTTATTTTCTAACAATGGCACATTTCTAACTTCACGATTACAATTGCCAATGGAAATGAAGTAAATTCTGTTCGAATATATAAATAAAAGAAAATTAGCTCGTTTTTAATGAATGTTTTATAAATGCATAAATACCGGATTAACGGATTCTATGGCAATGTATAACAATTTCGCATGTTAATCGAAGTAATGGCGAAATAATCGTCAAATAATATATATTTTGATTAAGCTTGATCGTATGTATATATATATATTCCTATACAGTCTCTAAATCTAAGTACACGGAAAGATCCAAAACTTTCTTTGGAAAAGGACGCATTTAACTTTCGTTATATTTTGTATCGAGTTAGCAGGCACTACTGGTGTACGGTAATATATATTTAGTTTATATATATTTGTTTTATCGTACTGTGCTTTTTGTATTTATTTATGTAAAAAATCTTCAAAAATCTTTAAAAAAATATTTCGATCTGGTAGTAAGTAAAAGGCCACAAGCTTACGGCACATTGCGGTTAATAAGAAACGTTTTGTATAATCACCGTAACACGTCGGTAGCACTTTCCTTTGAGAAAAGGACAACTCGATGACTTTCTATGAGTTAACGTTTAAGTTATCTTGTATAAATTACGCATTCACTGTTATACCCCCCCCCCCCCCGGTGAAACTCACTTTCGTAGATTTTACGTCTCGTCCTCTCTCACGCCGCACATTACAAGCTAATAATATTAATATATTAAAGAGTATTTACAGAGAAATGCGTCGTGGGCGCTATACCCGATGGAATATACCAGCGTACGGAAAGAATTTATCAAGTTTCTCGTATGCTTCACGCTACGCAAGTGACTCGCATATGTCACGTGTATGTAATTAACTTGTACTGTCACATTTTTTTCTTTTTACATACTCTTGACATAAGTATATCTATTATGCAGGCACGCAAGTTGACGAAAGTTCAAACTTCTTAGGTCTACTAAGAAATACTCGAAAAATGTTAAAAATAATTCTTCACTAAAATTATTGAAACGTAGAACAAGTACGAAAAATAACTAGAAGTTATAATGAGAAATTAGAAATTATAATGCTGTATAACATTATTGAAGAAAAATCAATAATGTTTTTAAAACGTGATTATAACGTTCTTGTCAAAATTTTTTTCACGGAAAGAAACCTGCGCTTGAATTTCCGGTCATATGTCTGCAATAATATATGATATATGCCTATGATAATATATGCATAATATATTATGTAACGAGAACTTGGACATTATATTTAATTTAAACGTTTGATTACGCAACAGATATACATAGACATTGATCGAACTTTCAGCACAGTAAAATTCGCATTACATTGACATTCGTCATAACGTGATTAATATTACATGAAAAATATGTAAAAACAAATGATTCAACTGGGAAAAACTTTCAAATGCGAACTCTGAGTACTGAATATTGTCTCATAAAATCGCTGAATGTAGAACAACCGCACGGCGGAACGTTTGACAAAAAATATATGTCTTTATAATACAGTCTCGAATAAGTCGTCGGACTTATAAACTGATCAATGCGGATTTATTACGAATCTTGTATTAACACTATCGATGATGCCCACCGACGGTGGAATGGCATAGATGATTTGATTACCGTCCTTCTTGAATGTAGGCTCGATCAAGTCAGGCATCACTTCAATGTGCAATAATCTGCTCTTGTTGCCAAGCATACATTTGAACTTCACATCCACTGTCACGTGTAGATCGGCACCACGCAGCCTATCCAAGAAAAAAAAGACTTTATTGCCAGATTCTTTCAAATAAAATTGCAAATAAATAAAAAAGGTACACCCCGAAATTCGCTTGAACTGTTCATTAAAATTTTCAGAGACCAGGAATATTTTATACGGTATGTATCTAGAGAACGCATTCGCATATTAGATATTGAGTTTTTAAAATATTTTCGAGACGACTTACTGATAGTATCGGTTGCTCAGCACGCCAACCAGCTCTCCGACTCTGTCGTCTTTGGCGATGATCGACAGAATGAAATCGTTTCCACGATTCGAGTGAATTGTGATAAGCTGATCCCTTCCAGGCGAAACGCTTAGGCCAGTGATCTCCGCTATCGGCATACCTTTTTTCATGTTCTTAAACTTGACGCCGTCGAGTTTATACACAGTATGTTCCGTCACCACCAAAACGCGATCCGCTGGTTTGTTGAACCTGTATTATTTCTTGGATTACCATATTATCACGATCATAATATCATTATTTATCACGAGATTATTGACAAAATAAAAAACCTGTTAGTCTTCCTAATAAATGCGCTGAACAGAACGGTCTTGAAGTGGTCGGTATTTCGTAGGTTGTTTATCGAAGAATTGAAAACGTCGCTTTGAGAATTCTCGTCCGGCTTGGACAGATAGTTTCCCTCCCAACGACGGTCTTGACCCCAGTAAGATCGCTTCGAACGCAACACAGCACCCGCGGCCATCTGTAAAACAAATTCATGGTATAATTAATCGAATCGCATCGAGCTACTGATAATCTATTTTAACTGGCAGAAAGATCTTTATTAACTCTCTGATCTTCGATCTTTATTAGCTTTCTCAAGTTGCGATAATAGAGATAGAATAAACGGCGAAAATTGCCATGCCTTTAATCGAAGTTGCGGCCAATCCTCCCGAGGAATCGCTCTGAGTATCATCCATGCCCACCACCTCGCGTACATATTTCTCAAAGCGGGCACCACGTGTCTCACGGCGAAATTTTCGCGCGGCCATGGTAAAGTCTTGCCGTAATTTCGCAGATTCTTGGCGCCTTTGAATGTCCGTTCGAGTTGCTTGATATACACGCGTCGTTTGTATCTTCTGTAATGCTCCATCAGCACTAATGCGGCCTTCATCTTCTTGTACTTTTGACGGCAAAGATATCCTCGCCATTGCTTTTGTAAGAGAATTACGACACCTGGTATTAAGTCGCTGCGCATCTGCGAACAAAATAATTAATCAATATTCACTGACTGTAAATATTGTCGCGATATATGAAATCCAGATTAGGCCAATTAACCTTTTCTAACGCAAATAAAGTCTGCGGCGAGCGAATGAATATCTTCGTGTGCCCGTACTTAACATCGTCCGAGAAATTCTTCTCATCCATCAATGTGCGTACGCCATCCTTATCACTGTCGCCTCGATAGTTTGGCCATGTGTATTGTGATATCATTTTATATCTAAAACCGAAAAATTAAATTTATTGTTATTTCCATAACTTTGCATTTAAAACACTTATAATTTAATCGTTCAATAATTAAAAAAAAATTCATAACTCGTAAAGTTAAACGTCCACCTAATTCTCATTGCTCATTTTTTCTAAACACATTATTTTGTTTTTCTTTTATTTATTTTACTCTTATTAGTTCCTTTAATTCTTGTTCAATAATTATCCGATGATTATATCAGTTCGAATAAGCATTTTGTTATTTAATTTTACTGCATTCTAACAGATTCAATACCTTTTCAGAAATCTGTCGTATCGTTGTCTGTACACGAAACCAGCCCGTCTCACCAATATGTTCTCCACAAGTCCCAAGTATCTCACTTGATGGTTTACTCTCTCCTCATCGAATACAACTGGAGACTTTACCTCGTTTGGTTTTATGCATCTGATATAAAAAGGTTCTTTACTCGCTAGATTCTTCACCAGTGCAATCATAGAATTGCGGAACATGGTGCCAGCAGTTAAAGGCCTCTTTGTCGTCTAAAATAAATAATGCGCAGATTTTTTTAGATACGATCTTTTTCAAATAATTGAAATCATGTATCTACATACAATATTAAAAATATGATTGTAATATGGTTCAACATATGTATGAGCGACCATCTTTCTTACCTTCAAAATGTTCTGGGCACCCTCAGGCCACATTTTGCTAATTACAGAATTTTTGCTTTGATAGAGAAGACGTTTGAAGTCTTGGAAGAGTGTGTCTTTGTTCTTGTCGAGGAAACCATTGATATTGTAAATCACATCGCCCGCATAATGTTTGATCTTAAATTGCGTTCTGTGTTCTAATTCTTTGTCCATCGGTTTTAATTGTCGAGAGCTGTAGTGTTTATGATTCACTAACTTCTTATCCATTGCGTTGAGAAGAATCTAGAAAAAGGCGTTTGTGTATTTTTCACAAGAGAATCTTCTGCTTAATAAAACTTTAGATCTTCCAACTACCTCATCCGTGACCTTCCCGACGTTGAGACAAGCTTCATCCATGATTGCTATCATTCCCTTGTGAGCTTGCTCGACCAAGTCGCAAATGATCTGATTGTTAAAGTATTCAATGTTTTGCCAAGCTATCCCTTCCTTCTGGTACTCTTCTTGCTCTTGTTTCAGAACCAATTCTGCGACAAAATAATGCTCGTAATTACGATTGTGAATCTTATGTCTCTCAATCCGACGTATTCCCGCGCATATTAAGCATTAATTTATACTCACCGATAAAAAGCTGTTGCAGCTTTTCGTTGCAATAATTGATGCAAAACTGCTCGAAGCTATTTATGTCAAAAATTTCGAAGCCGTAGATATCGAGCACGCCGATCAGCGTTCCGTATCTCTTCATGTCGTCACTGTTATTTACGTTGATCGATCCATTGACGCGCGACACTATCCACGTGAACAATCGCTCGTATACAGCCTGAAAGATTCATAAAAATCTTTGTCAATACATGTTAATTAGATCGTAGGAAACTCTATACGAAAACGAATAACTTGAACGCACTTTCGCTAATGCATCTCGGCCATATTCGGCTTCTATCAAAGTGTGAGTCTTCTGCATAACTTCTCCACCCGCCGCTATGACTCTCTGCGAGAGAGCAGTGCTTAGATCTTTCGAGTTGATGGAGAATAAGTTAGCGGTGTCATTTAAAGCACTGTTATTTCCGATTATAAGTTTGTCATCGTCCAGCCTGAAGGTGATGTTACCCTGTAAAGTAACAAAGAAATAAATCACATGAAATCGCGTATGTAGCTACATATTGTAGGAACAAATAAAGCATTAATGTTGAGAAAAGCATTCTACTTTTATGTCAATTACCTACCAAATGTAAGATACCAGCGACGATATTCCATATGGTCTGCGTCTCGGCCGTGGAGAATCCGAGGGTAGACATGGCGGTGCAAGCAGTTTTATAGTCGCTTCTGTCGGAAGTAGTTGTCTTGTTATTGCTTCCATTGCCGATGAAGTAGTAAGCGGCTGGGTCACGGACCAAACGTAGTTTGTTCAATTCGGCCTCGCTGCAGCCGTTCAGTAACTAAAAAATTAAACATATTTTTGCTATGGCATATTTGCAAGCGATTTATATTCCAATCTCGCGCGACGAGAAGTTTTAAGCGTGAAATTAGCGAGTGCGAGCGAACGGAACCTGATAGAAGCAGTGAAAGTTGCGTTCTCCCTTTTGCTGATAGACCACCCGCGATTTCTCGAGAAGGTAATTGGTCACGTGGCCGCCGATGGGGTCTCCCTTGAAATCGAAATTGATGTCCATGTACTTTCCGAAACGCGACGAGTTGTCATTTCTATTTGTTTTGGCGTTACCAAACGCCTCCAATATCGAGTTCGATTGAATGAGAATGTTCTTCACCCTGAAAAGATGCGCAATCGTTTTTATCACGCTTAGCCGCCCTATGGAATGAAAATATTTTCAGTATCATATCAACGAAATCTCTATTTTACGTTAAGCGCTGCGCGATTGAGTAATACACGAGAGTTTCCAAAAATGCAGCGAACAGAACTTAATCTTATCGCTTATAGAGATTCGCGCTAGACAGATTAGATAGCGAAAGCTGATACTAATTGTCATTCCAATCGACAACGTGTACCTCTCGATTTCCTGCTGGCCGCTGAGATTGGTCACGGCGGCAATATATTTCATTATGATTTTGCTAGCTTCTGTTTTACCAGAGCCCGACTCGCCGCTTATAACTATACAAGTGTCTCTGCCCTGTTGCTTCATCTCCTTATGCACCGCATCCGCGATCGCGAAAATGTGCGGCGGGTTCTCGAACAGTTCTCTCCCTGGAAATAATTTTTAAAGATAAGAGCGTCGAAAATTATTTAAATGTGTACATACATTTTAATCGCCTCGATACCAGTCAAATATTCACCTCGAAGCGAAAATTATTAATATTTTTTCGATCGTATACCTTTATACTTATTAATCTGGTCCGCATCGTAAATATTGGTGCTCCTGTAAGGGTTCACGCTCACACAGACCTCGCCGATGTACGTGTAAATCTTTCCCCCGTTAAATCTGCAACAAAATACAACAAGAATAATATATTAAAAAAAGATGTGAGGTAGAATTAACTAAAATAAATCAAAGTTAGGGTTTTCTAAGCAAATTCAACATATTAAAATGAAATCTTGATAAAAATGTTCTACAGGAAACCAAGACAACGTAAGCAGTCTTATACTATATGTATGCAAGCCGCAAAACTCGATAAAGTACTCATTGTCAGTTTCCTTGGAAGGGAATTGTTCGTTAGTTCGTAATAAATAGTTTTACGGTTCCGTGGAAATTATAGACATTCGATATCCACGAAAACGAAAGATAAGTGTTATCGGCCGTACAAGAGATCGACTTTGGGATTAGTGAAGCATAATGAGTCACTTGTCGTTACTTCGATAACAATTGCGCGCTCGCTAGTGCAAATAATCATTTTTCTACACGCAGCGAGAAACGATTATTTAAAACGATATATTTGATGTACGAGAACGTTTTAACTTTTAACGTTCATTCTAACATTTACATATCCGATATATTTAAAAAGAAGCGCTGTATTCTGACAAATTAAAGAAATACAAATCCAGATAAAATCCCTTTATAATAATTATTATTAAAACCCTTTATAATAATTATTATATCGCATTATTCATATCATTGACCATTATGAGGCTGAATTTCGTGGAAATGACGCAAGCGCAATCCGAAAACTATGCAACGATTCGAGGATGACGATGACTCATCGCCGGCACGAGCCCCGATAAGGATTACACGAGACGCATACATTCGTCGCGTGTATCCGAGGATACGCGTCTTCGAACGCTCATTTTCTCGTCGAGCATTTACCGCTAAACGAGCTTGTCTCTCGTGTGTTCCTCATTTCGCGTCAGCGTCGCGGATGACATGAGTCGTCGTCTGAAATGATGACATAAATCGGTAAGAATAAAATGTTACCTATGTAGCAGCTCAATCGTGGATAATCAGTCAATATTGTATTTAATTTTAAAGGGTAAACTGAAGGTTTGAATAACAGTTCAAAATATTAAATTAATAGAGATCTTACAGCAAGCAAACGTTAAAGAACGAGCCGAGACTCTTTCCTTAATTGTTATATATCCTTTCTGAATTATACTGCAACTAATTATTTGTTATCACAATATAATCATTTGAGAGACTTCTAATTCCGAATCTTTCTCTTAGTGAAACCGTTAAAGCTGCCGAGAGAAAATAATAACGTTTTACATTAAAAATAATTTCATAGATGTTGCTCCTGAAAAAAGAGATTTTTTTTATCACGAGCATGATTCAGACAGTCACGCTTAAAGTTAAATAAAAGTAAGAACTTCATGTGTACGTTTTCCCGATACGTTCTTTTGCTTCTTTCTCGTGAAAGTTGCAGTTTAGCGAACGGTCGGAGTATCAGTGATTTTGTCGAACCGTGGAGGAAAAAATAACAGGCAAACCCGTTTTCTAGTAAAGTGAGTAGTACGACACACGACACAAGGTATCAGAATCGTTCGAAAAGATATGTGCTTAGTCTACGGTTGCGACACAAAATGAAGCTGATATGACAGTAAGTACCGCCAGAAAATATTTTCTACGCGGATTATAACGATATAACGATATAACGTTAAACAAGAATGCTTAGTAATTTACTTGCATTATAACAATTTGAAAAAAAGTCTCGTTTTCCTTTTTATAAATTTATATAATTCAGATCTTTCAAACCGTAATTGAAGTTTTCAGTCTATTGTTAAAAATTAAATATTTTATATTACATATATTCTTCACATTAACTTAGCCGTTTTTAGATAATTATAATTGATTTCTCTAATATATATCTGATCGGATATGTTCATCTAAGTGATCGATCCCTATAATTGCACACTTATCAAACTTATTCAATAGATATTTCTACTTAATTAAACATGCTTAATTTGATTCAATCTAACGTGCAGATTTATTCGAGATTTCACGTAATATGTCTATCCCAGTGTACGATGAATCAGAGCGCGTATAATTCATTTTCACTCATGAATATACGCCTTCCAAGAAATATGCGTCACGCATTGTGTATTATTGACCTTCGGGTGCTATGAGCGAATTACATCGAATCTCAATCTATAGCGTAGATATTTTACAGGTAAAAATATGTAATTTATATTCAGTGTTTTGTAAAACCGGCTTGCGCGAGAGACGCGACATTTCCATACATATATTGAACAGATATTCGAAATAATTACAGATATCGGAAACATTGTACGGATCTTTAGTGTCTTGGTATTTTTTTGGTACTACACAAAGTTGTAGTACCACGGATTTTATCGTTAGAGCGTTAGAAAGTCGTTTATTATTTTAAAACTTCTCTTTTTAATTTCTTACAATTATAAGGTCCTAAGCTGTTGACTTGCTGTAATTGCGGCGAGAATATACGGATTAACGACCGCTTTATCTTAAATTGTGCTACTTGTCTCTGTGCTCTGGTCTCTGTGCGTGCGATTTCGTGGCGGATGTGCGTAACGCGCGTATAGTTGCGTGAGTCTTTATCCGCAAAACGATACACCCGCGTAACCGCGCAACAGGTATAATATCGTTGCTTCCGTCCCTTCCGTCAGTTGCTCACAATGTGATATTCACGTCCGTGCCCCCCGCGATGTAAACGATATCGCAAAGTGAATCGGAGTAGTTTCCCTGACGTGTTCCTTTTTGCGACACGAAGCGACGATTTTCTTCGTGACTCGTCTGTTTTTGAGCGTACCAGCTTGTCATATCTTTAGAAACCGTTCGGCTGGCAATCGTATGATAGAATAAAGATCCGTTTATTACGAAGAGACGATCGACTGAATTGTCATCTATCTTTGGAAACAATTCGGGCAACTTCGCAATTGCAAGATAGAATAAAAATCCGAAGAGACGATCACCTACTTGAATATTAACTAACTATAGTTTATCCATTCTAGAGATTCTTAGGGCTTAGCGAAATACGCTCCTCGATATCAAATATCTCTACAATCGAGCGTTAAATTTTCGTTGAATAAGAAGTTAATAACTGGAATTTCAGCTCTGCGAAAGAGAAAGATGCGTTTATAACTGTCTCTACGACAGGACGGCGTGCAACAACATGGTTTCGGTTAACTAAGTTAATGTGCTAATCGCCGTTTTTAATTCTCTATATTACAGCTCCGTCTGCGAAGATACGAAGAAGACGGCGTAGCTGTGATTAACGTCGATTAACGGCCGATCGCACCTTATTGCTGTCATCTAGAATCCGACTGCAGCCGTGGTCTGCTGCAAGCTGCAACCCAACTCGTTATTCGTCGTCTATTTACAGCCTCGCTTGTAATACATACACGCGGAAAAGTAACATCCAGTTAAGTTATAATTAGTGTCGATGTAACAGTCCTGGGAAAAGTTGTCACTGTGACGTGTGACATGAAAACGAAAGTATGAAACATGATACTGTTGGAAAATATCAAAGATAGTAAGGAGTAAATTATACATATACATACTTCCAAGATTTAGTTTTCTGATATACGTACGAGTGTGCATATCGCGATTATATCGCTCGACGTGCAAAATATATCTTAATGAATCTGACGATTTTTCAAGGAAAAACGCACGTTTTGTTCTTTCGCCAACCTATTATTTGCCTTAAGAAGAAGTAACTTCACATATAGAACTAAAAATATCATTCAAAATAAAATAGATGCAAAAGAAAATATGATGAAAGTACCTGATTCCCATATTAAAATTATAATATGCACTAGTAAACATCAAGTACTAGTAAACATCCCATAAAAAACGCCCGGATTTTCTAAGGTTTCCTTCGATTCATTTCTCATTCGGGAAATAAAAAGCCGAAACAATCTACGTTTATATTTTCTTTTTTTATCTCAAATTCTGGACTCATTGTCAGTCAAGTACAAAACATATATGAGCAAGAATCGCTTCGTATAAGTAATGATTTCCTCTCTTGTTTTCGATTCTCCAAGAATGGAAATATATATAATCTTTGCATTTTCTTCGTCGTGCTTTTGGTCGCGACGATTAAGAGGAACCTTGTGGCGCCCGACTCTCGCAAAAAACGTAGGCCAGAATTAACTGGTCAAGGCTGTCCGGTGGAAACGACCTCGGACTCGGACGTCTTCCCGTACGTTGTCGCCGTTAGCGGGTCAAGTTCAAGATACATTAGGAACTTAATATTCGAGGTACCTGAAAGATATGAAAGAAAGAAAGAGAGAGAGAGAGAGAGAGAGAGAGAGAGAGAGAGAGAGAGAAACGAGGGGAATAATAACAGATATGTTACTTCATTCTCCTCTCTTATCTCTATATGAAGTCATTTTATTGCCTCACGCGCGTATCTTAACTTTCATTAACAATAGATAATTATTTATCAGAGTTCACAGCTCCCGTTTCTCGAAAGAAAAATGAAAACTCGATAAAAATTTCTACGTCAACATCTCCAGAACGGTTTTCCGTTCGGTTCGCAGAGAATGCAGAAAGGTGAACGTAAACCCTTCACTATCTCTAGGCGACCACCTGCCGACGCGCAGGCCACACCCTCTCGCGGCTATAGCGGCGAACCGAGAGGAAATCGCACGCGCGCGCGGCGCGGGGAGGCGCTCGGCGCTCCCCGCCGTCCACCTGTCAGGAATCGCGTCTGCAATTCAACGAGTTTTGGAATACGGAGTACGGATCGCCCGGTACTCCGATTACTCCGAGGGATAAGAATGGTGTGTACACACCTGATCTTGAGGTTCTCCACCACGCGCTCCACCGTGATTTCATCCAGCAACACGAAGTCGCCGATGCCGACGTCGTGGCTCGCCATCTCTGTCTCGCTCGTTCCCTCGTCTTCACGGCACGGCACAGCACGGCACGCGCGCAACGCTCACGATCGTAATAACCGCACTTGTCAACCACCCACGTGCTACCACCGCGCGCGACCGATCCGCGCGCACTGACGTGAGTGACGATTGGCTCCCACCGCACGACGCACGGTCCCACCGTCGGCCAACTTCGCTATCTCGCGCGACGCGAGCAGCGAATGCGGTCATCTTCAGCCCTCTGCCGCTTTCCGCCTCCCCACCGCGCTCGGTCGATGACGGTGCGTGGTAGGGCCGTATGTATACATACGACAAAATATTCAGACAAAATCAGGATTGCCGACGAAGCTTTTCGCGTCTAGCCTTCGATAACTTAACTGGCGACCACGTCACCCGATAGAATTGCAAAAATTTCTGCACGTCATCCACGTTCATCTTCCTTTCCAAACGTCGAGCAACAAGTTTGAAAAAACTGACAATTCCATATAATAAAATAATGCGGGCGTCGCTCGACGAGTTAATCGGAATCTAGTCAAAGTCATCCCGATCGCTTTCGCGGACGCGAGATTTTGATCAGCTACGCTACCGTGTTTTTCCTTTCTTTTCTTTTTCTCTCTCGTTCATGACTCGCGGCGCCGGTGCACGGTATACGCGGTGTACGCCCCTGACACGCGGAAGAGACGGACGGCGCGTGCGCACTCGCGAACGCCCGCGCTTGTCTCACCTTTATTTTTGGAAGCGACTGGCGGCAGTGGCGGCGGTGGCTGTCACAGAGAGTTGTCAGTTGTTATAGTTGTTGGTTGTTGGACGCGCTCGGAGCTCGGACGTGCGTGTGTATACGCGCGTGCCCGACCGATCGCAAATCACGTCAATCACGAGCGATGTCAACGCGGACAACGATGACGACGAGGACGACGACGTTCGAGCCGACGATCGGCTCGTCGCTGCTGACGAACGGCAACAGCAGCCTCGCCGAGAGCCGGAAAGCCACGCCGGCGAGACTTTGGACGAAGGTACGCGTCAACGAGTGGACGTTCAGCCTGTCGCTCTTCGCGTTCTCGCTTGCCATCGTCTTGGGCAAGCTGTATGTGAATTATGGTAAGTTGGTAAGGTGAAGTGATGGAACAGGCGAGTTGCCTCTCTCCCCGGCGTCTCGTCCTCCCGAGATTTCCTTGATTTCCTTGATTTCCTCCACCTCCCGAGACTCGGACGTTCGCAAGCCTCCGCGCGTTCGCGCGTCCGCGCATCGATAACCTCTCAGTTGAGGTTAGACGCCTCATTTTTAAACACAAATCGCATTTTATTTTGATTCTGTTGAAAGGGACGTTCCCGGCGATCTGAATCGCCTCCACGACGAGAATCGTTGTCGCGCGAACCGACGGTAGAGACCGGTCGCCGCGCCGGTAGGACGGTAGGCGCCGTTCCGTCAGACGCGCAAGTTTTTGTTTTGGTAACGTTGGAAGCCGGGATCCGGGATTGCCGACGATGCGAATCCGTCTCGAGGAAGCCCACGCCGACACTTTAGATTTTCATTTTGTTTGCCTTCTGTTTTTATACGTCGAGGAAGAGCGCGACGAGCTCCGATGGAAAACGTAGTGCCTGCCTTATTAGTTCCTGCGACTATATTTTCTGTACCACCTGCGTTGTGTTAGATGTGTTCTTTTCAGTTACGCTTTCTACGTTCACCTCCCTCTTTCCCTGGCTTTTGCAACATTTAACATATAATTGATTTCGTAGAAAAGGAGAGGTAGAAATGCGTGGCTGAAAAAAATAGATCTAACATATGTCGATGATAATTTATCCCAGGCGATTTCATTTAAGTTGCTCTGCGTTCTAATTCTTATTTATTATCAACGAATCTACTTCTTGAATTTATTTGTGTAATATTAACCGCTGATGCTTTCTGATTTATGTAATATTAACCGCCATAAGGCTGAAACCTAACAAAAATCGCTTATTCGTTTATGTTAATTTTACAACGTGTGTATCGCTATGAATCAGCGTTCCGTGAGTTCCGTCCTCTTTCTAGGATAGATCCTGAAAGTCGGACGATCCCATCCCCGTCGCTATTGTTTTCGATAAACGAATATTTCCCTCGCAAAAATTAACAATTTTGTGAGCTTTATTCCCGAGAGATGGAAACGCGTAGGTGAAATAGAGACATCTAATACATAATATATAGCTCGGCAGTAATTTATCCAGGCGGTCGTTCGCCAAATTCACTCTGCGTTCTAATTTATTATTTGTTATCGACAAATTTTTTTGTATATTTATTGAATTATTTATGTAATATTAACCACCTGTGCTTTTTGTAAAGCGAAAACCTAACGCGGTCCGAAAGTCATCTGTTGGTTTATATTAATTTTACACATTTGTACCGTTATGAATCAATGTTCCATCACACATTCTTAGGATACCTGCAAAGCCGGACGATTCTCGTTGCTAAGTACTGATTTCAATAAATGAATTATTCTTTATCGCAAAAATTCACACGAGATTCCGTGAGCTTATTCCTCTCAGAAAATACTTTAATATCGTGCGTTGCATCGAGAGATGAAGAGATAACCGACGATTACCTGCGTCTCCAAGGACTTTAGAATTTAAATGCGCGACACGCGAACTCGCGTTAAAATGCACACGTCGCGCACATGCGGCCTGCATTCTTCGGTTATATTTTTAACGCCGCGTGGCCTATTTCTATTACGAGATACCTGTCTTTCCGCGGGCAACGCGAGTCCTTCGAATCCTCTCCAGCCTCCTCGCTAGCGCGCGTTTATTACGCGAGATCTCTGCGTCGCCCGTGACCGAATTTGTCAAGGCCGTGTTGTCGCTCGAAAAGTATAATACGCATGCTTGACTAGATACAAAAAAGAAACTGGAGATAGCTAGAGACAAACAACAGGAAAGAGAGAATTTTTTTTTATTTATCTTATCTTTTATTTTTATCTTATCATTTAATTAAAAAATTAAATCAATTACTTTTACGGTGAACTTGGAAGATTACACGCGTGTTAAGGTATAATATGAGTATGGTATAATATAGTCTTAATAAAATATATATCTGATATCTCAATATTAAAAATGATAATTCTATTTTATGTAAAATAGATGGTTTCTCTCTCTTCACAAATTAATATATGTTCTATCAATGTTGCAACTCAAAAGAGAGTTGAATGGCTCGTTTAGAATGAGGTAGAAGATTATTCATTAACATATAAAAGCATTCTAACATTTAGAATGATAAATGATATTGTTTAAAATAAATGTTTTCTTTGCCCCACAAATGAATGTAATCTTGTAATATCTATAAATAAGCTCTACTCAACCTCTCTCTTTCTCTTTCTTTCTAGAGATTTATGTGGCTGATATGAGTTTCTCATGCTCTGCCCTTAGGAAAGCCTTTGTCATGGCAAATCGGCGATCGATACTCGTTGCCGTCGGTGGCAACGTTTACTCAAATGTACGAAACGATACCGAGTATGTCCATTTTACCGAAATTTGACGTGAAACACGTGGATAGCGAGAGACTCTTGAATGCCAGTAATCAGTACGCGGAGACAACCGCTCATATGCTGGTCACATTTTACGGGAAATACGGGTGGCTGTTGAAAGCAACGATGAGCGGACTTGTGATAACAGGTTTCAGTTGGTTCATCCTTTACAAGGACAGCAGTATACCCGGTGTCAATCCACCGTCTCCCTTCAGCCCTTCCAGACAGAGGTAAAATCTTAGTTTCTATTTAATTACGGTATCTGTCCCTATTAGCTGTAGTTCCATACAAGTATCATGCTTTAGAGTTTAGAAAGTTAACTATTCGCAATTGGAATGCATTTTTTTATTGTATAATACGTAATTGATAAGAATGTATAAAAGTCTAATAAAAATATACCTTTTATTGCTCATTGTAAATCTATCAGGATAAATGTAAAATAAATCTGGTATTTATATGTTGCTTGAAAAATAATTGCGGACATAAGTATCGCAATTTACAACTGTTAATGTCGCTTATCGCACATATTTCAGGATACGCGGAAGCTCGAGGATACAGATGAATTATTTAGTCGGTGTGCTAAATGGGATATTATGTTTCGTCTACATGTGTCTTTAATCGACGGAGACGTCGTCGGTTTTCGAAAGATGATTCTATTTTTCTTTCGTCTATTTATATTATTTATTTCACTTATTTATGTTGTCGGCGGCAGCAATGCGTTTATTTACGAGTGATCTTGATATTTTGTAGCTCTTTTTTGTTGTGATTAACATAGTACGATATTACGTAACGCTTTCGTAAGTAGCTGTAATCTCTGAGTAAATCAAATGTCGCGAGAATGCATAGAGGTACGTTTCCCAAAATGTAAAGATACTTCAAACGATGCGACCCGTTCTGTTAGCACTCAAAGAATTTGTTCTACTTCTGTATGTACCAGTAGTCGTTACTGCTAACGGCACAATGTGCAGAAACTATAGAACCCAAGTGCGTTATTGCGCGGCACGCAACAACCAAAAATGTCAAAGTACAAAAGAGACCGTTGTTCCAGACCCTCTTCTCCAAATTTTACATAGTTATCTATTGCTAATATTAAGACTGATCGATTATCTGACAAAAGGACATATTTATTGTTAGACTAGAGTAAGTGTTGCGAGGTACAATTTTACTTTGTACGCAGAATATATATATTTTTGGCATGCTTATATAAAAATAAGTATAACGCAGAAGCGTGAGGCTACGAGTAACATTATATTTATTAAGTTAATATATATAGTATATTTAACGCGTCGTCCTGGATGTTACATGACACTTCTTAAAAAAAAGGAAGAAATTAGGTAGCTAACATGCCGAGAATATGTTGCGACGAAAAATGCGCACAGGAGGCACATTAACGTACATTTATACACTTAAATTGTTTTGACAAACAAGAGATTAAAAGTGAATACATCGCGGCTCCACTCTCGCAAATATCAAGCTCAAAAGTATGACCTTTAATTACAAACGTTCATAAACATTTATAAAACATTGTAAACACTTGCAAAAATTGCAAAACATGGTTTCTAAATATTGAGGAGCGCGAGAAGTGATAGTTACATTTCAAAAAGATAGAGTAGGATAATTCCCAGAGGTTTATCATACGCGATAAGAGGCTCATCCTCTCCGGTCATCGCAGAATTAATGTTACAGAGATACGCTATAGAAGAATGTTTTGTTTTTTGAACGACTAACATAGGCAGGATTAAAAAAAAAAAAAGTGTTCGTAATATATAAGCTGCGCCTTATTGTAAACGTTATCGTTGTACGTGCACATATACGGCATATACGGTTTTTCCGCGCGGAATCTCCGCATTCGCGAGAACGGAATGCCATTCAATAAACGTTTTGAATCACAGAATCCGCACGTCGCGTATACATGAATGCATGTTCCTTAACCCGTTCGAATGTCCCGCCCGACGGCGACGTGTTCGCGCAGGATGGTACACGCGATGGGTGACGCAATCGCGACTCGCGAGGAGCTTGCGCAAATCGGCGAAACGGTCAGTACACACTGCACGGTGTGTGTTATCACGCGTGTGCCACGGTGAATCTCTTCGTTGTTCCGCCGTTTTTCCTCGATCCTTCGATCCTTCCCACTTTCTTACGATGGCGAACGAGACGCGTCCGACCTGCGAGGCTGAGGCTGAGGCCGAGGCCGAGGCCGCGAAAACGGCGGATCACCAGGTCTACAAGATCCACAACCTGGACGACTTCAGCCGGATCACCCGGGGAATCAAGGTTGCGCGGTGCATGCAGTCGCCGTCCTCCTACGGTGAGCCGCGAATGTTTAACGAGGTGGAGGAACTCTGGCAATTGACGCGCGTGAGCGTCGAGCGACGAGGATGCGTTTATTTATTTTCTGCTGAATAGATCTGCTCCAGTTTTGGAACGAGAGGGACACGGACGTTCGGGTTGAGTGCAGAAAGGTGTAGCTAGAACAGATGGACGTATACATGGATGTTTGACAGGGCACCGAGCAGGCTTATATTTTCGAGAGACGTAATTGTTCTTTTTGAAACAATTACGTTTGTTATTATTTTCAATGTCAGGTTTTGACATTTTTGATAGACCGATCGATTCAAAGGCATAGACAATAGACATAGAGGAAATGATGTGCATGTCGGAGCGTAGTTTTTGTTTAGAAATGTTTAAATTTAAGAGCAGCAATGATTCTCCTGTTATAAGAATTCGTATTCTGGGAATGTTATTGTTTAATGTCATTTAATATGTTATGATGGTTATTTACTTCCACATTAACATTCTGTACCCTAAAATTCATTGTTATATTAAAAATGTGTAATACAATAATAATCGTTGATATAATTAAAGTATTATAAGGATTATTGTGTGAAAACTTTGTCTTCATATCTAATACAATCAGTTAGATCTGATATCAATAAGGAAATTAATAATATCGAGTCTCTTTGAGCTATAAAGCTTGTTTAATTATAGGAATTGAAGAAAGTTCAATATTGTTTTTTGATGAGATTATCTTAAAAAATCAGCAAGCATTATCTTTATTTTTTCAATATCAGTGAGAAAAATACAGGATATATTTGTGTTTGACAACATTTCACATATGGAGTTTCTCTCTGCTTTGCAGTGCCTGACAGCGAGCAGATATTATGCCAGCTGGTGGTGTCCGACTCCTTGTGTTGTTCCCACTGTAGTGCCGAGTTTGAGGACAAGGTGCAACAGAGGCTTCACTACAAGCTGGATTGGCATCGTTATAATCTCAAGCAACATCTGAATGGTTTGAAGTCGGTTAGCGAGGACAGCTTCAATAGGTTGGCCGGCGAAGGTACAGTCTGAGATGAAGTACACGGCGACGATGCGAGCTTTAAAGCTGTGCAGAAAGTTAGGCATGTGGAAATTTTGTAGGCGACATGTCTAGCCTGTCCGGTAGCGAGGTAGAGTCCGAGAACGAGGACGATGCTGGTACTTCGGAGACTGGGACCTCGTCTAACGAGCAAACTAAGAACGAGCCGTCGAGTAAGACTGGACTTGGCAAGTCCAGAAAGGCGTCAGAAAGACGCGGGAGGATAATCGAGTCGGACATTTCGGACACGGAGTACAACGAGGAAATGTCCAAGGAGCGGAAGCTGCAGGTCGTTGCGAGTCGTCACACCAAGGTGTTTTTCGAGAACGACGACGGCAATATATTCAGCATCTATCGGTGCCTGCTGCATCACAAGAAGGTATGTTTGTTATCGTTGGCTGAATTGCCATCAATTATAGAGATGTCCCTAGCAAACCTATACGCTACTATCGATATTGTTGCGTGCGCTTGTGAAAAAATTACACGCGCACGAAATATTATCTTGAAACCTGATCTACTTTGTTAGAGTCACTTGGTGTGTTCTGTACTTGCCAGATCGGGAGATATGCAATTACGTTTTAGGACATTCCTGAGAAAGACACCGAGATGATCGCTCAGGCGTTGGACAGTGGCAGAAAGACCAAATGGACGGTTATCATGGTTGGCGGTGGACACTTTGCTGCGGCTGTATTTGAGGGTACGCATCTTAAGAATATTTATTATTTTTTTGATGCTCACAAAATCGTTACATCCACTCGCTTTGATATATATATTACAGATGGTGAGGCTATTGTGCACAAGACCTTCCACTCTTACACTGTGCGGGCAAAGCAAGGATTCACTCAGAATTCTCGTACGAATGGTAATCACGCGAAAAGCGCTGGTGCCAGTTTGCGAAGATATAACGAAGCATCGCTTATTCAGGTATATACTTTTGAATATTTCCACACTTCTGTAAAAATTAACGAATCATTTAACGACTAATGCGAATAAACTGTCTGGTAAGTTGCAAGCTAACACGACGATTCTTTCAGCATGTGCAAGAGATATTGGAATCATGGTCGATGCACATCAACAATTCATCGGCTATTTTGTACCGAGCGGTCGGTCCGCATAATCGCACGGTGCTCTTCGGTGGCAAAAATCCTCCCTTAGATAAGAACGATTTTAGAATAAGACCACTGCCATTCCCTACTCGAAGAGCAACGTTTAGAGAAGTCAGGAGGGTATACGACATACTGAGCACTATGGAGATTTACGGTAAACAGTTGCTCACCATTTAAATTTTATTCATATTTAATCCGTATAGATCAATTTACTTTATGTAATACCGTACTTTAGGCTCCGCGGCGGATTTCACGGACTGTTTCCCCAATTCTCCGCGACAGCCCGTACGTAAGAAGGTCTCGAAACCGGAGATCATGAGCGAGATACCCGAGGGAGAAGTTGCCACCGAGTATAATCTTAATGCCGGTAGTAACGGCAATCCGCAAGAAAATGATAAGATTAAAGCACCTGCGCAATCTACCCCGGAGAAACAACATCGGAATTCCCGTCCACATATAGATAGGGCGAAACCGAGGAAAAGTCCGAATCGGCCACTGCCAGGTACACGTCATTAATATAAAACATGAGTAATTCTGGGATTCTCAATTTTTTTTGTTTAATTCCAGATATGCTGTGATTAATGTTGAAAAATAACCACTTGTATAATTATATTTTTATATATTTGTGCTGAATTATAGAAAAATTTTCTATAATTTTATTTCTGTTTTACAGATATTATTGTTAGGTTAGCTCAATCGTCCTCCGAGTCTGAAATGGATACAAATTTGCAATTGGACATCCCTTTAATTGAAGAAGATTTTGAGGTATCGTTTATGGAGAATTTACAAGCGTTTCAAGATACTGTGCCAAGATACATGAAGAACAAGAAAGCTCATCGGCAGAAAAAGAAAGTGAAGAAAGACAGTAAGTTTTAATAGATAATCTACATCAAAGTTATAATCTCTTCGCAATAATTTAAGAACCTAAAAAAATGTTCACAGTTTAAATTATACAATAAAAAAAAGGTTTTCTCTGATTAAATTAAGGGAAAATGAAAAATGTATCAATACATACTTTATTATTTTATTGTTTAAAAATGTTTTACGTTATATTATTTTCAGCTCAGATGAACAATGAAGTGCTGTCGGATGCTAAAAGTAAATTATGGAGTGCCTGTAAGCGAGGCGATAATGATCTGCTATCATCGGTCATTGATAACTTATTAGCTAAAATTAAGGAGTGCGAAGAGGAGCAGAACAAGAAAGATATCACGGACACTTGTGCCACATCCAACAATACTCTTGTGAACACGGACGACGTGGCGAAATTAGTTAACGATACCAACGAGGACGGTAATACGGTGCTGCATTTGGCGGCACTCGGTGGATACCACGAGCAAGTATGGTGCGTGCGTTACATTTTATTTATTATTGAACAAATGTTATAATTTTAACGAAATCTTAACTTTAATGATATTTTACGTAATTCGATTTGTCGATAGGCTACTACTAGAAATCGGATCTGATCCTTGCAATAAGAATAAAAAACTACAGACCCCTTATGTCGCTGCAAACGATAAGAAGACTAGAAATACGTTTAGAAGATTTATGGAAGCTAATCCGGACAAGTTCAATTATCAGAAGGTATTATTTATATCAGAAAATTGCATCGATATACTCGAAAAATAGTCTTATTATCCATAAGCTACATCATATATGTTTTAATGCTTGTACAGTCTCAAATACCCGGGCCACTCTCCGATGAGATAGAACAAGCGGAGACAGAGAAGAAAAGACAGCAGCGGAAGTTGAAGCGTTTTAAAGAGAAAGTTAAGAGGAAGGAGTTTGAATTGAAGAAACAGGAGGAAAATGAGAAGCAGAGGTTCCTTAATCTCAGCGACAGAGAAAAGGTTATTAATAAACGCGTTATTATACGAAATTTTTTACTCGGTGTTGGTTCTGATATCTTATTTCTTTCCTTTCGTTCTGCAGAGAGCATTGGTCGCGCAGAACCGGATGTTGAACGAAGGATACACCGTGGTGTCGCGATGCTTCCAGTGCGCCATTGATATGACTGACAAGGTGCCTTTCGAGTACAACGCCAATCGTTTCTGCTCAATGCCGTGTCTCAAGGAGCACCGTCTTCACAATAAATATGTTATCTGATGGTGCATCATGTCTAGCTAGGAAAACTTTTACGACAATTACTCATTCGTGACTGCGATTGGCGAGAGGCTGCATTTACAGGCAATTTACTGTACATGTATAAATCATTTATGCCGAATTATTCATACAACTTCATGTGGAATTTGTTTTATAATAATTTGAATGTAGAAAGGAATTTTCACAATGTGATCGTGTTTTCCTTCAGAATATTTTTTTATGATAAAGCACGATAATTCTCAGAAGGTAAGGATGAGGAAGTCTTGATTAATTTTAAGAAATACGAAGAAACTGAACCGTAAGAAAATTATGTGGCGCATAAAGAATTTCGACAATGTGTACGAAGATGTAGTGATGTAAAAAGATAAATAATATGCTCGAAGGATTTGAAAAATTTTTTCAAGCTACAACAATAGATTTTATATTTCGATCTATATATATGATCGGATGTACACAGATGGCACATTTTTTTTACAAAGTATAATGTCCCAGATAGCAAAATGGAAGTGTGTAAAATCATGCAAATGTATTGCTGAAAACAATTTATATTACTGTTGCCACAAACATTGCATAAACAATGAATTATAACTCCGTTCAGGATTCATGTTTTATGATGCCTTTGCAGCAAAGATGTGTAAATTGTTTCCATCAATAATATGTAAACTGTACATCAATGGAGTCTCCAGACGTAAACTTTTGCTGCAAAAATTTAACAAATATCGAATAAACCGTTGTTTGAAACAAATTCAATATTGTTGTTGGATATTTGCGAACACAGTTTTACCGGCGCTTTACTTGATACCGTTTTACTGAACTGCTTGATACGCCACTCACGCCCATTTTCAACGTTACAACTATTTGACATATCCATTTTCTCACACTGCCTGTGAATATTTTTATTTTTCGTTGAAAAGTATGCTATTTTGAAAATGAATATTAAATTGTGAACATAAAATATAAATAAGCGAATCGCAGCCTATCAAATGATTATGTACCCGAAAAGCATGATATACTATTTATTAAAAATGTAATTTTATATAATATACTTTTGCGATATTAATAGGTTTAATTACTGTATATTGTACATGTAATATTGAAATTTAATTGCATATTTTTAGTTAATCAACTGGACACTTTTATTACCCATCCATTTGACTTACATATAGTATCACGTGATATCGGACCAAAGTTGCGTGTTTAAATATTATTTCGTCATTATTAGTGGCATCTGGCATCGCGTATAGCATTTATTGTTAGAAATGAGAGAAATGCATGAACGCAAATCACGTGAAGTTTGCCGCGCAGAAGACGAAGCGCCTCCGCCATATTAATTACGTAACTCCTTCCATTTCCAGTCAGTGGGGGTAATGTTGTTAGAATTGGTTAGAATTTCTAGGTTAGAAAACAAACATGATTCATGGTTATCAGTACAGATTTTACGGTTGTTTACGTTTATTACTGTAACAAACTTCGAGACACATAAGATTTCTCAAGTTCAATACAAGTGAAATTTTGCCGAAATATTCGCGAAACATGGCGACTACCGTAACAGACGTACAGCAACCCGATACCAAATGTCGACAAACGCAGGTTAGAAGTTGAGTGTTTAATAATGTTAAGTGTTTAACTGTTTTACAGTTGTGAGGTGTATATTTATCGATTGAAATTTTAAAAAGCAGAATGACTATTCAACTGTTTAATGTATATTCTATTTATTCGTAGATGTATGTAATGGCAATTTTCTCAGTCATCTAATTATCGTAATTGTACAAATTGTAGAGATTGGAGTTGACGCCGGAGGAAGCAAAGGCCTGGCACGCATGCATGAGAAGCTCGAGTGTCATCATGCCGGCGCTCATTAGCGCAGCCGTGGGATATGGGGCGTGTAGTGTAACCCCATTTCGCGCATATGCCAAATATGCCGCCTTAGTCGGCAGTGTGATAGGCCTGATCGGGGGTAGAATAGCCATTTCCGAAATGTGCCTAGCGAGAGTCGCTTCCATGCCGAACAGTACTCTCCGAGACAGATTGATAGAAGCGGGTTATTATGGAAATAGGTATTGTTAGATAGCTCAATTACTTCTAGATTCATTTATGATCTATTGTTCGAGTGGAGTCTCATTCATCTTTGTTTATAGAGAGAGACTGTATCAAAAATTTCAACCGCTGGATGTGCAGACTGAAGTGCAAAGCCCAGCAGAACCGTCCACTGGAATAGTGTTCAACGATTATCCATCGATGAACTCATATGATACATATTCCAGTATTAATGACAGCAGTGAGTTGTGAAAGTTATCATTAAATCTGTTATGTGCTCTCTTCTACGCAACTAATTGCATGAATTATAATTATGTATTATATCAGTCATATTTCACTCATTTGTTGCATGAATTATGTTTAAAGGTGACTTTCACATTTCCGAAGATGCGGATCTGACTGAACCGCTAAATCTGCAAAAAGGCGTCAGTTATGACGAGTTGAGGCATAAAAATAGAGACGAGTTCTACAAGAAAAATAAGCAGTGGCATGCTCCATCTAGACCATCAAAAGAACCTCCGGTGGCGAGAGAGACGACCGAGCAAGCTCTCACAACCGACAACCCTTTACCGATGCAGAAGAAAACTAAATATGGTGACGTGTGGGATTGAAATTTAATCGTCAGAGTTTAATTTGCTTATCTCCGCGTATATTGCGGACAGCACATGTATATATGTAGAAATATGCGAATGTGATAAAGAAAAGTTTGAATATTGCTAAATATATGAATAAAATGAAAGCAATATAAATCACGTTCGCAATAATCGTGTCATGAGTATAATCAAACTCCATGCGTCAATACCGAGACTGAGACTCGCATTCTTACTGTCTAAGCGACGTATTGAATGATTCACGAGTTTAGATGGAAATACGAGACTCATGTACTACCGCTCATAATTGAGTCGCAATCTCGCGAGATAGCGGTGAGACACAAACGACTATGAGGCGGCTAATTGATAGATGACGCCAGTCCGTAAATGCGCGTAAATGGAGCTCGCTCGCTCGGCCGGGCCGCTCATAAAGCAGCGCAATGTAATGTAACGCTAGGTAATGTAGCGCGTTCTCGACTCTCCGTCATTCCGGGTATGGTGTCATCCCCGTCGTGTTGTCACCTTGACGTACCCAGGATAGAAACCTCGCTCACTTCCCTGTCATAAGAGCCGTCGCCGCGCGCGTTCGTTCCCTATACTTTCCATAAGTTAACCGATAATTGCCGTTTGGTATTTGCCGTACGGCTCGCGTTGCGCCCGCGACCTGCCCTGTCTCCTCCTGGGCCGATTTGCATACGACTTTGCTGCGAGTCGTTACATTTCTCTCGCGCATTGCTCGCGAGTCGCGCTCGCGATTATCCTCGCCACCCTCGTGTATCATCGAGCGACGTAATCGCCCCGGAAAAATTGAAATTATCGTCTTGACTCGGGTCGCAGTGCCTTTCGTGCCGATGAAACTAATACTTCGTTCTTGACGTCATCTATCCAATTCCATGATAAGCGCGAGACCCTCGCTTTGGCAAGGGTTTTACGATTAAAGAAAAAATAGTGAAACGGCGATAACAATTATTACGTAAAATCTATTGTAAAACAATAGTTATAACATAAGCATTCTCTGCGCTTCCCAGGCGCGTAAAGGTCTGGGAGTTTGAATTACGATTTATAGCGATTTCGCACGATTAATAATTTTTTCCAGAAAAGTCAGTAGCACGGCGCGGTATTAATAGGATCCGGTTGATTTACTCCGGTATCTCGTCTCAATCTTCCCGTCGTCGCTCGGCCGGGTTCGGGTCGGGAATATCGGCTATCTCGGCGGTACATACACAGGATGTGCACTAGTGCACTGCACATACACGATCGTTTCGCTTTACTTGCCGCGCAGTGGTTGCGAATGCAAGTCGACAGCGATTGGCTATCGGGCGCGACCAATGGGCGAGTACTACTCCCATTCATAAGTCGCGTCGCTTCCGCGGGGAGCACGTTGGTGGGGAAGGCGGCGTGCGGGCACACTACAGTCACTACACCCTTGTATCTCGCGGCTGAATTCTGACCGGTCAGCCGTGCTCGTCATTTGCTCGCGCGCGCGAGCCGGTTTGCCCCTACGGTCACTTAGTCCTAAACTCGATGATGTATTCCGCGTGTCATTGCGCTTTATCACGCAAACTTATCATTCCCTGTCTATAACTAAATAACCCTTCGCATTAATTTATCTAAATTACCGTAATTTAATTTTTTCGCGCAAACTCTTTAATTCACACGCCTCATAATTATTTCATTACTTTATCAACGACCATAAAGTAATTACAGTAAAGGGTAAAGAGACATGAGCGTTCATTGCTAGTCATCTTTGTTCGTATGCTTTATCGTATATACTTTATTTTTGTCGTTACAACACCATATAATTTCAAATTTGTAAAGTTTGCGAGAAAAAGAGTGACGTTGATGTAACCTCAAGTATTCGCGGTCACGTTCGGTTTAATGATATACAGCGTTTTTACGACAACACAAATGAGAAGGGGATTTCCGAAACTCGTAGCCGCTCGCGCTCATTATCCTTCTCAAAGTACCTAATCCGGTTCCCAGGAAACGTCTCCCTCGGTTAGGCGCAAGAAATGTAATTCGCGCTGTGTTACGTATATTTCGGACGGATTACTTCTGGTCCCAGGAAACTCGTCGGAATTTCGAGGCGTCGCATACATATGTATACGTACATACGTATAAACGTATACACAACGTCGTGCGCGCGCGCGCGCGTGCGTCACGATTCACGTGCCTGGTTAAACGATCACGTGTAGAAAGGGGAGTCACGCAGGTGCAGGTCATGTGAAATATTTGCACTTTGTCGTAATTTGCGTAACCCATTGCATATATAATAAATCCGCGCCGCGCGGAGCTAAAGCGCCGCGATAGAAAATCGTTTCACAATCTAAAGAGAAAGGGAACCTTTCTGCCTCGTCGCGATCGCGAGGAACGGCGAGAGGCGAGGAGAGGAGAGGAGATAAGAAGCGAAGCGGACTGGCGGACGGGCGGGGGATGGAAAGAGAGAGAGAGAGCGGAGATGCATGCGTCCGCTTCTCCGTGTATTATGCGATCGCATTATGGACGCGCGCGCGCGGATATATCACGAGAAACGTCACATTCTGGGATTCGACTGATCGAGTCGCGGTAACTCGCGGATCGAATCGATTACAAACGCCGGCCCCGCCGTTTTGTTATAACTCGATCCCCCCACTCCGTTTCTCCCGGAATCGACTGTTATTGTAGATACATTAATCCACCAGATTCGTCTTCAGATTTAATGATTGATCTGCCCATCATTACATCGTCGCCACAATGCAGTCGTTGATGAAGCTGGAAAGATAGCGCATACTTATATCGCGGCGTTCTAAGCATATAAGAGAACATAAAGAAAAAAACGCGAGATTTGAGACGCTCCAACCAGCAGACAGTTCAAAAAGACGTCTTAAAGACGTTTAAAAGACGACATAATTTTTCAGACGTTCTTTAGACACACGTCTTTTAAACGTTTTTAAAACGTATTTTTACATCAAGCTTTTGCTAACTGGAGCGATATAAATACATATCAGAATGCATTTTTAACTTGATTTTTCGTCGCGTTTTGAATTTCGCCAATAAATCCTTTCGTTATCGCACTGAGAGCGGTACGCGGTCACTTTGCCCGTGCGAAAATTTCCAGCACAGCCTTCCGATTCCGTTGGAGAAAGTTATATACGTGCGTGATCGAACTTGTTATACGTATTATTTTGAAACGACATAATAAATAGCTCAAAATACAAAATTATACGCCAATCGCGATCCAGAGCTCTGCCTGACGGCTTATCATCGGCAACCGTTTCATACGCGTGAAAGATTAAATACGTAAAATCAAAACTAAACAGCGATTACGCGACATTAAGTCGAAAAAAAAGAAAACAATTTTTAATGTTTTAACCGACAGTCGTGGTGATAGCTGGCCACATGCGACGGTGGCTGCATTCCGATATTTACTGTCAGCAACAGTCAGTACTGAAAATCCTGTAGTATGCGTGACGTAAGATATAGAAAAATATAGATTTCAGTTACTGACAGTGAATATCGGAATACAGCCAGTGCGTAACGCTTGAAACTGGTGCAACTTCACGTGTGTCAAGGTGTTCGCGATACCTTGAGTTAGCTAGTTACATCATCTCGTATTTGCTTCAAAATTAATTATTACGCCATATTCAGACCGGTCGTTATTTCGCTAAGCAGCAGGGTGAGTCGCGCGCGTGACGTCAGAGGCGCACGTGACGCGCCGCGCGCATCGTGATTCGTTCGTTCTCCCAATTTGAATTAAGTTTGCCGCGAACGCGATCTCGTCAACGCTACGAGAGGGTGAGCGAAAGGCGGTGAGATAATGTTTGAGGGATGATTCGCTCACATCAGAAGAAAGTAACCGCAGACGCGCGAGACGGCGGAGCCGCGAAAGCGGCTGGACGGAGGGAAGAGGAGGGGGGGAATGGAAGGGCGAAACAGGAGGGCAGGGGAACGTCGAGAGAAGTGTGCCAAAGTCGGCGAAGGAGGTAGGAGTCCCCTCGATAGCTCACGTCGATAATCGCGCTGTCGAGACGCGCGGGCGGTGCGGTGGTTCGTCTTGCTTGCGCTGTGTTTGTGCTGCGGGAGAAGGACGCGACGATTCGTGGAACGCGCGCTCGATCGAGACAGCGGAATCGTAGGAGACCGAAGGTGAATGAGTAGGGGTAGGACATTATGCGGGAGGGGGAAAGTGTGTGTATATGTGGGGATGAATACTCGACGCGAACGGAGAGAGCGAGCGAGAGAGCGAAAGAGAGAGAGAGAGAGGAGGTAAGACGAGCGACCGGGCGCGCTTAAAGAAGAGAGATCGAGAGAGAGAGGGAGTGAGAGGCGCTCGCGGTGTCAGGACGGGGGCGTGCGCTCGATGGCCGCCTAGACCGCTCGAATCGGTCGCGCCCGGGGCGTGAGCCAGGCGCGCGAGATCGGGAATGAGAGAGAGAGAAAGTGGAAGAGAGAGGGAAAGAGAAAGAGAGAGAGAGAGGAAGAAAAGAGCGCGAGCGCGCGAAAGAGAGAAGCGACACGCTCGCCGCGGAGGGCTGCGTTCGCCAAGCAGTTACTCTGGAACCGTTGCCTTGACGACACGCATCCACGCATGCGCGTGCGCAACGCGGACGGTACGCGAGCGCAGCTAAAGAGTTGTGCGCGCCAGTTTCATCCGTCACCCTCGCCTCCGTATCATCATCGTTTCCACCACTACCGTCGCCACCACCACCGGTACCACCACCACCACCACCACCACCATCACCACCACCATCATCAACGGTGCCCGTCACCCTCGCCTTCTCGTAAGTCCTCCGCTCTCTTTCTCTCCGTCTTTCTATCTCTCTCTCTCGCTCCCACCCTTTCTCTCTCTCTCTCTCTCCGCCCTCGTCCTCGTGGTCCTCCGTGGCGAGCACGCGCGCGCGTCAACGCGTTAACGGGAGTCCGCGCTGTCACCGTCGAGAAACGTCATTTCGCGGATCTTGCGGCGGTCGACCACGATCGGCGTACTCGATCGTTCGCGAGCGTGCGCGCGCGCGCGCGCTTTATCCTCCTCGAATCCTGCTGGAGCACTCCCTTTCGTATCTCGCTTCTCGTATCGCGCGTCGCGCGAAAATCACGCTGGAAACGATCGTACGTTCGCGTTTTGTCGCGAGTGCCGGCAAAGCTGACGAAAGTGTTTTGTCGACAAGTGGCCGTTCATAGGAAGAAAAAGAAAATCATTGAGCGAAGGAGCATTCTGGGCGAGCGATCGACGATGTCGATCTCTTGGAGGAACGTTTTCCTAATGGAGGAATTTAATTATTGTTGTTAAGCGTCGCGCGAGTGATCGAGAACGGGATCAAACTAGTTTCGAACTTGCCCGATGTCTCCGTTTGGGAAACGCGTTACCGCGAGAACTCGAAAAGTATCGTCAGTGATTCGTATTTTAATTTAAAAATCGGAGTCGAATGCTTCTTCCTGCTCGCATTAGTGCCCTCCGACAGCAGCGCGTTGGCGGCGTCGGCGACGACGGCAACGACGACGTCGCCGATCGGACTGCTCTCTCCATCGACGAAAAGTAACTCGGAATAGTATAGCGAATTTCCCGCAGGACGCGATGCTCGCAATGACCCTCGACGAGCGCTCGGCAGCCTGGTGCGGGATAGTGTTCCGCGCCTGGAATTCGTTGGACTCGACCCGCGGGACGTCAACGCGGTTCCGATGTACGTGACTGTCGTGATCGCTGTCGCCAACTATCGCGATCGATATCGCGAATTCAAGTGACATTGCGTGAAATCCAAGCCGCGCGCGAGATAGTGATGCCCCGTCTTTTGCTACGGTCTATCCGAAGAGAGGGCGAATCCAGCTAATTTGAAAGGAAGAATCTGCGATCGAGAGAATCGATCCGTCGACTCCGTTGCTCCGAGAGAGTCGGTGACGATTGTTGGCGGATAAGGGACGGACGAGCGGTGGCCGCAGATCGGATAGCGCCGCGAAAATCAACCCTTGGACGACTCGGGAACGATCCACGGCCGGATCGATTCTTCGCTGCGTCTCCGCGGAAAATGGTAGTACCTCGACCCACCTGAAGAGAGACGAGAGAGATCTAAATTTTCGGAGAGGTAAGGGATCCGAGGATCCGCGAATCGATCCTCTCAGCCGTCGGCCGGTGGATATCACGGCGCGAGCGGCGACGGTCGTGGATTGGATGGTGCCGCGAGGATTAACCCTCGGCAGGACGACGACACGGGAGTCGGAGCCGGAGCAGCTACGCTTCTACGATTCTCCGCCGCCACGGATGGACGCGAGCGTGTGCTGTTTGCCCGCCGGTGCCGCGGCCACCACGGGGGTTACGCAGCACCCTCATCCGGCGTCTCTGCCCGGTTTACCGTCCGCCGTCGGCGTCCAGCCGCCGACGATCCAGCCGTCCTACGCCGCCCAATACGCCGCCGATCAGATAGTGCCCGATCGGGCCCAACCCGACGGACCCCTCGCGACCGTGCTCGGATGCAACACGCAGGACGGCTGGCAGCAGATCTCGTCGACGGCGTCCACCGGGATCACCGGAGCCGTCACCGCCACCACCACCGCGTACATCGACTACTCGTGGCTGCAGATGCAGGTAAGCAATCTCGGGATTGTGGAGTCGAAACCATTTACTATTTACTCGTCCCCTGTACGCTGAATCGTGTATTTTGCGAATAAAACTCTAAAAAATATAATTTAGAAAGAAAAATACCGGTCCGGACTTGGTAGTCTAATAATATTGTATGAATTTTACACAGAGTGTTCCACACAGACCTGCCGTGCCATCCGTAAATGGCAGATACCTGAGATCATTTTGAGACGAAAATCCAAATACCAAAATGCCGAGGTTGTAATAGTTTTTAAATGAGAAGTGTTCAAAGTTTACTAAAAATAAATAAAGTGTCCGAAATTCGCGCACTGTCATGTCGCATTGCACTGTAGTGAAGATATTTTTAAGCTCATTAATTCATTTTTTTCTCTATAGATTTAATGTGGCACGGCACGTCTGGGACACCGTTTTCCGAACTCAATGAACTGCGCGCCGATTTTTTGTCGGTTTTAAAACACAGTTCCTAGTCAGAACAGTAAATCCACATACTTAAATTGATAATTGATTTAAATTTTTGATACTAATAAGCGTTCTTATTAAACCGCTGTAAAAATTTATTGCAAAGTATTTCCACAGCTTCTGAAAAATATATTTATCTGACAGATGCTTATTGAATCGCTAATTACATGCGAGAAAGAAAGAGAGAGAGAGAGAGAGAGAAAGATATTTTTGCGTAAACGAAAATATATATGTTAATATTTAAATTTTGATTCAACAATTCATGTACATACGTATACATATATGGAATAAATTTCAAAGTTGGCATGCGCAGTCGATTAGAAAATGAAACGACGAAGCTGTTATACATGAGTAAATAAATGAGAGTGAATTTTCTTTCGTCGATTTTAGTGTCAGATAATACATAGGAAGAAAGATTTGGGGCTTGATTCTTGAGTTCATTCGCAAGAGAAACGTATGCGCAAATTCTGCTCTTATAAAAAAGTTGCAAATTGATTAGCTATGGCTTTTAACCAATCAACTTGTCGATTTTTTGTACGAACGGAATTTGCGTACACATTTATCTTGTGAATGAATTTAAGAATCGGTCCTCTCTGAGTTTCGGCCAAAAGAAATCGAGTGAATTTAATCCTCGCTGATAGGTTAATCGAGAAAATTACAATAGAATCTATTTATGATACTTTCGTATTCCTGGCAGAAGACAAATCTCATCGATTAAGTGTAACTTAATTCAGTATGCGACAGCCATGACTTTAATTAAGCAGTAATACCTATCGAACCTTGCTTAGTAAGCTATTGTATCGACCTGAGATGAGCCGTTCAATTTTCTTCCTGTTTAGCATAGATCTAAATATCTATGTGATCGCGCACGTGTCACTCGGTTGGCTACGCTAGTTTTTAGGATTTGTCATAAGTGGCGCGTAAGATTATAGGTTTTCAACCAGACGTAATGCTATAGCCGTTAATTTTTTCGCCGGATATATTGATTATCGGCTACGTTTTGAAAGAAAAAAAACCGCTTGGATTGATTCGTTCGGGATCGGTACTTAACTCTGCTCATTACATTTGGAAATTGACTCAAGTACCATGATTAATGAGATTTGCTTTATTCCTAGTCGATATCGACTTCCCATTAGCGCGTCAGTGTGATTTACATCGGCGATATATCGAGCGGTAGATAGTGGATCTCGGAAAAATGATGGTTATTTACGTTCTTAATCATTCGTCAATCGGCCGGCTCGACTTTCGTCTCGTCTCGGCTCGGCTCGGCTCGGCTCGGCGCAACTCCACGACTCTACGATAATGTATCAATTCCCGGGAAGCGCTAGATCGTAAAATAATAGAGCGGAGTAATAATATACCCATTACTATTATCTCGGTACGAGTGAGTACTATATGTTCTCCCCTTATAGACGTAGCGGCGTCTCCGCCACGTAAAGCCACGCTGTTGACAGGGTAAATATCCTTTGATACCGCGCCGTCCGTCTGGCACACGCGTCCTACGTCTCTCTCTTCTATACCTTACGAAGGAAGTTATCTATGTGGCACATGTATGAGCGAGTGCGTGCGTGCGTGCCGATCTCTCATGCCACGAACGAGAGCGTGTACTTTTCACATTATGAAGGCCGTTTCGCTTGTCGTTAAGGTTTCAGGATTTTCGTAAAGGCCGCTATTTCGTTAATGAATCTGTTGGCCTTATACACGGGGTGTTCCAGAACTACCGGTAAGTCGTCTTCTTATCGCAGCGTTTTTGGCCAATTTAAAGGCGACTCTTCCTCGACGAAAATGTCGAGGAACGTCGTATTGCATCTCTCCACTTCTTAATAATCTGTAGTGAATATTAATGAAAAAGACACCTAATAGTTTTGAAAGACGCTGTATATGTTTTTCTTCTTGTTATCTTAAAGCAATTTGCGAAAGCGTGTTGCTATATAATTGAATTTGTTCCCGCGATACTAGTTCTCATAAAATATATCTCGATAGAAACCGAGATATACGCTGCCTCTCTCCTATGTGTCTTCTCATATTTTTCTCATACATAAATAATTTTACGATACAATTTTATTATACGATTGTGACAGATTAATTATTGAGATCGAAACCGATCAATTGAAAGTTTCGATCAATGGAAAGTTTTCTCCTCGCGATGTTATCAAAAGAGAAAAGGCACGCGCGACGGTTCGGTATATCTCGGCCGAAAAGCCGGTCTACGAATTTTGCACAACGAGCACCTATTACTGTCTTCAAACGGAAACCGGTTTTTTCATACCGTTATCGACTCCTGGATATCGCGTTTTGACGTGCAAAATCGCGATTCACCATCAAATATCGATATAATATTTGAATCTTAAAGAGCGAATAGGGAGGAACGGACCAAACGTTGAGACAATTGCGAATAAGGAGTAGATATGCAATAAAATTTTTTTATTTATGGAAGACATCAACATTGAACGTCGTAAAATTATGCGAAGGACCTGCCGAAATCGTGAGTTTGATTCTATAAGAGACCAATTCTGTCCGATGATGGATGGAGGTTTTAAAACTTCATCTCCGGAAATTTACTCCTATATCATGTACTTTTTTATCGCATATATAATTATAATCTTTTGATATATGGTCATGTAACATACATAATTATAAATATTTTCATATATTAAAATAAAAGTTGGTTAATCTTTTCGAAAAATCTAAAATTATACAATGATGATTTAAATAGCTACATTATTTAAAACTCGATTTAAACCATCTATTAATATTAAATAGCTATTAAATAATTAATATAATTAATCAAGTCGAATTTAAAGAACCTGATTACAGATCAGGATTGACATTGTTTACTGCGAATATTATGAATATTATATTTAGAATATAATATCGCACAGACATCTTTATTTACCAATTCGTTAGCATATTCTCGCTTACATTGGATTTTTGTTAAATTTTTTAAATTAAAATTTTCTTCGATAGAATATCAGTTTAATATACGCATCTCGGTCTCACGCCATCGTCGGCAGGCGGGGACGCTCGACTAAATCGCGACCGGTAATTAGCCGATACCCCCGACGCAATCTAAACGCATTGTGACGCGTGTAAGATAATAAGCGGACGGAAATCCACGATTATTGTGCTGCTCGAGCCAGAAAGGACATCCCAACCACCACCGGACGAACCATTTCCACGGTTCACCGCCCTTCGTTTCAAAACTGCGTACGATTACCGTTCCGCCGCCGATTATTTCAGTCGCTGTACAAATACAAACGGAGGGGGGAGGCGGGGAGGAAAGGCAGAAACGCGATTAACATTGAGCGGAGATGATGACCTAACCGAAAATACGACGATAATATCGTTCGTGTCGCTTCGCTTATTTCTGCCGACTGACAACAAATTCTTTATCTTGTAACGAGACGTTGTGACTCATAAAGATAGCTTTATATTGCAGTCTTCTCGCATCACAAATATTATACATCTCCAAATACATTTCTTTATAATAATTATCACTCGCACGACTGCTCGTCTCGTATTATTCCCGCCCCTCTGTGTGCGTTACTACGTTGCCAATTTTTTTTTTTAAACTGTTTTTTTATATCGACAAAAAAACACTTACGTGTAGTAGAGACGTAGAATAGAACATTCAGATCGACGCGAATACAAATTAGACCGAATCGATGTAATTGGCCCTTTCCCGACGTTTGCTATGATTCCGAAGAAACTCTTCGACTCGTCGTCATATTATCCAGCCTCTAGCCAGTGACTCACGTCGAATCGCGAACGTTGTGGGCGTGCAGTTACTTAGGTTCTATACTTGCACTCACTTGGGGTCGATTGCGGTCGGATCATGCTTCAACTATGGGATTTACGTAAAAAGAGCAAACTTCTTTCCATTCTTTTTTTAATTATATCTTTAAAAATATATAACGGTGAACTCTTTAAAAGATGATGAGACATGTGAATATTAATTAGGTTATAATTTTTATATAATCTAAAAAGTATTAATTAATATTGTAGAAAATAAAAATAATATTCGAAGAGCGTTTTATATAATTTCTTTGAATATACTACGAGAATTATTGTGTCCAGAAATTATTCAACTGATAAAAGTAAAACATCAATATTATCGTGGACCGTGGCTAGATGAAGAATCTGTGGAATGGAAATTTTTCGCTCTTTTCGCGCATCTCTCTCTCTTTCTTCCCTCTTTCTCGCAATACTAGGTATTATCGGAGCTAGCTTGAACAAATTTTCTGTATGTACGTTTATGCCGATTATCCTAAATTTTAAACGAATGTAGAAATATGCGGAACGTGCGCAAAACGTCGTGCAAATATCGTTACTTGCTACCGTATCTCTATTATTTACGCTCGAGCACATTGTACATTTCCATAAGTATGCAGCAGTTGCAATTTTCCTTTTTACGTTACTTCGTTTTCTCCGATAATCATCAAGTAGCTTACAGCGCCTGCGTAATGGTAACAGTAATCATAGTTTTGTACAAATTGCCATTCCTTCCTCATTATCGCCGTTTTGCA